AGATGCGATAATATCCGAGCTTCGCTAATTGTTCAACGTAACTCCTGCCACCAACAAATCGAGTGCACTAAAAGACGATTGGAGAACAAGATCAAGAGAGATCTAAATCGTGATCACAGCAAGGCTTCTGCAATGAACATGGACGATCTGGATCCGAAACCGCTCGGTGCAACTTACCAAGAGCTGTTTCACGTAATGCAGGAACACAATGAATTGCTCAACTGTCTCATTGGCCAAAAACAACCCTCAGATGTTCAATCAACTTCCAACTCGCCAAGTCGTGCCTCGCCCACTGGTGAGATGAAGTTTAAAAGCGGGACTAGAAAACCTAAAGAGGACAAAGAGGTCATTGAAGAATTGAAAACGGTCAACGACAAACTTCGCCAGTGGGTTCACCATCTAGTGGAGGGCGTGGAAAGGGCGCAGCAAGAAATTCGCCAACTTAAAGATGAAAACGGATCTCTCCGCAAAGAGCTTACAACTTTAAAGACCACTTTAAGTTCAAACAATAAAACAATTCCCGAACTACCACCGCTTGAACCACCGAAACTGCTTTATTAACTTGATTTTGTGTTGAGTTGTCTGATGTCTGCACCTGGCATAATTAAATCGCTCAAAGTGATTCCTTTCTGCACCGAGAAGAGAGTTCTCAGCAAATACTTCATACAATAAAAAGTACAGCTTTGTAAAAAAACTCATCTTTGTTCAGGCATTTGTTAATTGTTGAAATGTGTGATTTATTTATATATTATAAACATTAAAAAATGTAGGTAGAAAATGTACATCAATTAAAATTACAGGTGATATGAAATTTACAATGATATGAGATAGAAAATTAGCTGTCAAAGGAAATGTTTGCGTAAAGAGTTTGTTTGCTCGAGGAAATGGCTGAGTTTTGGCGTTTGTAATTATCACTGCCAATAAAATCGATGTCTGCGTAGATTTGCATGTCGTCATCAGTCTGCAGATGGCATGCAAAACGAGAGGATATTAGAAGGAAAATGCGAAAGGCAGTTGGCATGGTAAGCATTTCAAAGGACCTTTTCGATGGTAGCTTGCTTTTCAGCATCATCAGAACTGTGAATTGGCACTAAAAGATGAAGGGCGAACGAAAGTTATGAAAGTTAATGAAAATGTTTACAGTAGTTAACACTTTAACGAGTAGTGAGCTTACCATTAGAGTCAGACTTGTCTTCACCGTGGTCGTCACCCTGTTGGTCAGAAGATCGTCGTCGCAGGAAAAAGATGAAGAGAATTGTGAGAATGAACATCATGAGGAGAAGAATGAGAGAAATGGAAATGATCATTGCTCCAGATATCTTGTTGTGGACCTAAAAAGACAACGAAGCGTGTGTCATAAAAGAGCTGCATGAGTGATTTCGCTGCTACGACAATATTACCTGAAGATGAATCACTTTGTCAACGAGACCGTTTTTATTCTCCACCGTGACGGTAAAATCTTTGGCATCGGCAATGTCTGTGTTGACAATGTAAAGCATCGACCTGAAACAGGTATGGTTGGGCGACTTGGGCTGGTCAATTGGCACTAGAGGGCCTGCTTTGATGTGAATGCCGTCTTCAACTTCATAGAAGTTGGTTTCATAAACTTTCTTTTGGAAATTGGTACTTTAAAGAAACGAAACAGATTTTTGTTACTTTAAAACAAAAATGCAAACAATATATCAACTTACTCAATTTCGTGCTGAGGGATACTGTCGTACATCCATGTTACACGAGTCGGAGGAGGATCACTGCAGAAAACGGCTTCGACAGCAGTGTTTTCATTTTTAAAGCCTATAACAGGCTCGTTAGGACTCAAAAACTGCGGTTTTCCAGAAACGCTAACGATCATTTTTTCACTCGTAGCCTTGTTGATGTCATTCCCAATCTTGTTTTCTCCTTCGCAGTAGTAATCACCTAAAGATAGACATTTTAGCAAGAAAGAACAACGATATCAAATGACACTTGCCTTCGTCCAGGTAAGAAACGTTGTGAATGACTAATTTCGATGGGTCAGCGGGGCTTGGATTGTGCTGCTGATTGTAAACATAGTCGACAAAAGTCCAAGTGATGGTTGGCTTGGGATTTCCACTAGTCTCGCAAATCATCTCTACATCACCACCAACAAGAACACTTTGAACTTTAGGAGTTTTTACGGCAATATGCGGTCGATCTACAAAAAAAATGTTATTGTTTACACCAGTTCGATGATACAGTAGATTAAACTTACAAGAAACCGATATGACAACGGTAACAGTTTCTGAACCCCCAACGACGTTCTTTGCAGTGCACTGAAATTCTTTATCGTCCATTGCCTTTCCTTTGACTTCTGTAAGGATCAACGTGTTGTCGACTGTTTTGTAATTTGTCGTCGTATCTTAGACAAAACAAGTGTCAATTTACAAACGTAAAAGTTAAACTTTAAGAACTTATTACCAGATTTCCACATTGCCGGTGCCTTTGGATTCGCATCGACATGACACTCAATTGTCAGATTGTGATTCTCGAGCACGTTAAACACACGTCTATCCACCGAGACAATAGGTCGGTCTGTATAGAGTAGCAAGAACGAGCATTAACAATAAACGCGACAAAAAATGCAAACAAACATACATGTCACGTTCAGCAATTTCTTGGTGGTTTGCTTTTCCAGTCGGTGCACAGATACGCAAGTCAGTGAGGCTCTATTGTTCTCCTTTGCAAAGACGTAGTTCAGCGTAGAAATGACACTTTTGCTTTTTTCAACTACAGTGGTGTTAGCCTGGTAGTGATGAAATGCTAATTAGTATTCTGATTGTTGCACGCAATGGCATTGTGTCATCAACTTCACTCTAACTAATACTTACGCTTGCAGTTATGTTCTTGTTACCGAGATGCCACTCGAGAGAAGGCAACGGGTTTCCTCCGAGCGACTCGCAAACCAAACTAGTCGTCTGACCAGCAAGAATAGATTGGAACGGTTCTTCTTTGAAGCGAGGAGTATTAGGCTTAACCATGACAATCACAGAAGTACGAGGCCAACTCGAACTGTATTTGGACCCTCCTTGATTGAAGCTAGGCACTTGGCACTCGAAAGTTGTGTTGTCGCGATCAACAGAAACCTTCTTGAGTATCACGCTACAGTCGCCCTTCACAGGTCTCATTTCATACACGGTATTCGAATCTGGAAAAATAGAAGAACTATTTCGTTGCCAAATGCATGTGAAATTTTCCGATTTGGGAACGCAGGGCAAGTCCAAGTCTTCCCCTAAAAATGATAATTTAATTGAATGTAAAACGATTACATTTATCATTCTAGCCAAACTTACCTTCCTTGACATAGTACGTTTTGTGCGGAACTCTTACAAAACGATCTAGTGACAGTGAGTGCTCTGGTAAAGAAAAAACAAAACACAGTCAGCTGGTAGTCTAAAATTGGTGTCTCATTGGTAGAAACCGACTGGCCTACAAAACCAAATTAAGGCTAAGCGCGCGAAAGCTACACTTGATGCTTTCCCAAAGTAGAGCGTCGCATTGTGGTACGGAGGGCACCGATGGCAGCATATGGCGCAAAGCTTTAATTGAATACTGATAGAGAGTATCGGCAGGGAAAACAGGAAGCAGCAAGTTCAAAGCAATTAGGCAAAAACCAGAGACACAATGTCAGAGGAGACCAAGCGAATCACTTTTCTCACTGCTCAGCAGCAACAGGACGAGTCATTGAGACAGAACGCGCGCGCGGTCGTGCATGGATGGAGGGGCTTGGATGGGATTTGCCGTTCTTTTAGTGGCCGATTCGCCTTTGCTAATTTGTGCCACTAGTAGAGTGGCCACCACTTGACAATGGAGGAGAAAACGGTCGGTTGCTGCAAAAAACCTGCCACATGCTTTGCCATATGACGCCTTGTTGGTCTTTTTGTTTTGACTGCCGACAGTCAACAGGAGACTACTCTATTCAGTGGAGAATAGCAGTGACAGTAGCAGCAGCAGCAGTTGGTAAAGTAATGGCTTAGATTAGCATTGCCAGACAAACGGTAACGGTAATGATGTGGAGCTGATAAAAGCACAACTAGACTATGTCTGCGTTGAATTTTGAAAGCGGCGACGCGCAATAGAGACATAAAAATCGCTTCACTAAATAAACGGGACAATTTTACATATTTTTTCTATTACGATCGCCGACAGCGTTCACGGACGAGCGCAAAGTTGTCATACACAAGTTCGACTCACACTTGGAAAGAAAAGAGTAACTAGGCGCAGAAAAAAAAGCAAAACAGATACCATCACGCCTCGTTTAGAGACAGAGTGCCAATTAGGGGAAGGCATGGCTAATTCAATTGATACGCTTGTTGCCAATTGGGAGCGATATTAATAGATCAGTGATCGGTGGGTGAATACACAGTGATAAAAAGTTGCACATTGCGTAGTTGTCACAACGATACGGCAAACTTACCAAAGTAAGGCAAAAGCAGAACTGCCAGAATCAGCATCGAAACACGCTGGCGGCGAAAGAGACTCATGATGATGCAATGGCCGAGATGGAATGGACGAAATGGGTTAAGCTGATCGACCGAACCACTGTCTCATTGGAGGGTTGTGCCGATTGTGTAGCACTCAAGGCCAAGACAAAGGACCTGGATGGAATGGCAATGGCGGCAATCGGAGCCGTCGCTGGTAGCTGGGACCCGGGCGTGAGTGAGAAGGCCTGTGGAAGCTCGTCTCGGGTGGTGGAAGGGTGACAGTGCCCGGAGGCAAGGGAAGAAGAGACCAGAAGGGGGTAGAGAGAGAGAGAGAGAGAGAAAAGTCAACGGCGACTTTCAACGGAAGCACAATGTCGGATGGAGAGCAGTTTCAGCTAGCGAGAGCAGGCCTGGCGCGGCAATTCTCAGTGGGCACCGACGACCGTTGCGGCCAGAAGGAGAAGGAGAAATGAGCAGTGTCTTTCGCTCGCACTTGCTCTCTCTGTCTTTCAAAAAATCGTGCTCAGCGCAGTGCTGTTCAGAGCTGCCCTTCTGACCTCTGGCGGCAGCACCGAGTACACACACTCACACACTCCTTCAGTGACTGAGTGACCTATGAGTCAGAGAGTAGCACTGGTGATAAGAGAGAACTTGTTGGACGGATGATCAAGTTACGCTCGGCGTGGGTAATCACCCATGTGGAGGGAGTAGTACTGTAAACAACAAAACGACCACTGAGATCATACTGCAGCAAGCTGGCAATTCAACAAGAAGAGTGACTGTATTTGAGAAGAGCGACACATCGCATCGCATGATACAGGGAGAGAGAGATTAGCAATCAAAATAACGAGTTGATAGACATTTAGGAGAAGGTGCAACAGTGTCATTAGGTTAAATAAATAGTAATAATTTAAATTAATTTAAAATCTATGTGAGTTAGTGGGGGTGGTTGCATGTACAATCGGTGGCGATGCACGACGAAGCACGCTGAAGGCGGAAAAGACGAAGCTTGGTAGCTGAGCGCTTGCAGAACTTGGGCCTTTGAGAGGGTGTGAATCGGCTCGGGAGAATGTAGGGGCTTTTCGGGAGTTTCGGCTCTGACCTGTTTCATTCTCGGGGGCTATCACGGCAAGCTCGGTTTGTGAGTGTGGTGAGTGTGTGTGTGTGCTTGGTGGGCGTGAGTGTTGAGTAGTGGTGGTGTGGTGTGGTGTGGGTGTGCCTGGCTGGCTGGCTACTCCTACGCTTCACAGTCGGGAGGAGTACTTGGAGCTGAGACTGGAGGGTGTGCTGCCACTGCCACTGCTGCTGCTGAAGTAGGATGAGTCTTTTTGGCGGTAGAAGAGCACATAGGCGTCCTTGAGGGTGGCCATTGAGAAGGAGTCGGTGACGTCTTTCACCTTTTCGTCGTTCATGTGGAACCACTTTCCGTCGTAGTGGCAGTAGGCGGTGTAGTGGCCACTCTTGGCACTGAAACCATGGTGGCAGATGGCCGCATGGACCTCGTACTGCCGAGACTCGATGGTGATGGTTTGGTTGACGGTGATGTCGCTCGACAGCTTGTAGCCGTCGTTGGAGAACTTTTTCAGGTCTATAATATTGGAGAGGAGAATTTAGCCATGGAAACTGATAATGTGCTCAAACTTACGAATAATTAGTATTTTGGGTGAGCGCACTATAGAAAGACGTTTCGTTGATCGACGATGTTTCTTGCAGTTGGAACAAAACTAGGGGAGAGGGTGAATTAGTTTGGCAGTTGAGGAGAAAACGGCAAGTTTCCCATACCGGCTGCTCGTTTCCATCGAGCGTTTCCTGCTCGGTGAAAGCTGCAAGGCATTCCTCAATATCAACTCGACTTCTGCATAAATCAAATATCAAAAGTTGGTTGGTCAATACTGACAATTGAGTACTATTAGGCAAACAAACCTGTATCTTGGAACAGCCAGCGACAGGTCCCAGAAGGGGTCCCAACAGGTGCTCTCATTGTGGCAGTCGGTGCACTTGATCACCGAGGAGAACTGCCCCACAAAGAGCTCAATGAGTTTGGAGTCGTCGATGCGATCGCGGTAGAGGTTCCACGCCTCCTGTGATGATTTCGGCTCCACAAGTTGTCGCTTCACCAGTCTGCACTTGGCTTTGTTCACCTCATCATGCAGGCCGTTGATCAGGTAGCGCAGAAACTCTTGAGCGTCCTGCTGTCTGTCGGGCGGAACAGAAGTTGAAGGTTAGAATGGTTTGAGTCAGTGTGAAATCAGTTAACGGCATGTCTTACTCGTAGCCTCTAAATTTTGACTCAAACTGAATGAAGGTGCTTCGAAAGGAGGACGGGTTGACGCAGGCTGATCGGCCATTTGACGTCATTTCCTTAAACAGCCTAGATAAAGCTGAACACAGTAAAAAGAAGCTAGCGGTTAGAAGTTTGCAGTACGATTTATCGGTGGTATCCTTCGACTTACCCGTATACAGCTGACCGCCTGATTCAAAGCAGCCAATCACAAAGTCGCGCAGCTCTTTAGTAGCGTACAGCGCTTGTAATACCGAGTTCATGTAACAAGTATTCCCCAAGTTGGTCAATCCAGCCACTGGAGTTTTTGTCTGCAAAACAGATGGAAAGTATGATTAGCAGGTGGTAAAAGCGTGTGTCTGCTTCCTCCAACACCATTGGTACCTCAAGTGGTTCGCGAGTCCTACTGGAAAACGCTATTGGAATGCACATTACAGTGGTAACTAGGAGACGTTGGCACTCGGATGTGCCCATTCAACAGTCGACAAGGCGGCACATGTTTGCATTTCAGGAGAAAGGAGCACTATTGTTGTGAGAACATGTGCACAAGCAATTAATGACCAACAATAGAACTCTTCTTAATTAACACCGACACACACACTCAGCTCACTGGTCAGTTGGTGCACTTCTATGCGTCTCAGCTTGTGTGACTTTCAAACAAGTGGCGCTTCTTTGTCAGTGGAAGCTTTAAAAAGTATTCAGAATGGTTTATTTGGAAGTCAAACAAGCTGAGAGGTAGCACACTGCTATTCCGGCATCAGTACCCAACTTTGAGAGCTGTTCAGTTTAATGTTCTGTCTCTGTCAATTGGTGTTTCAGAATGGTTCCGCTGCCGCTGGTGTCCCCGGTGCTGAGAGTTACAGTGCCAACAGCCAACAGTAGTAGCCTTGTGCTAGAAAAAGAAGCAACGCTGTACACACACAGAGTGGGGAGTTTGCTGGCGGCAGTAAGTGCGATCAAGATTTAATCAAATTTAGACTGACAAATACGTTTTGTGAGCTAATGAGCACCTGGCAGTATCCATTACAGAGACTAATTGAGCTGAAGTGGTGCTCTACCAGCGCGTAGTGCAGTGCCTGCTTGCACACACTGACGGTAATGTTCACTTGGAGTGAAGTGTGCGTGATTCGGTGATACATTCGGACAAGCCAGCTCTCCAACTTGTTTTCTCGTTAATGGCCCGGCGAGAGAGTGTTAAAAGTGGGCACAACACTCAGGTAGCGCCCAATTTGGGTCAATGTTGTGTGCTATACTGTGTGCTGTGGACAGTGCCACTGTTGCGGCGCTAATTTGATTAGTCTTCCACTCATACTTCTGAGGGTGTTGCAAACGACAGCAAACAAAAGTAGTCGCCGCTGCGATCCACCGACGTCTAACAGTTTGACAGTCAACTCACTTCTACCTTATCGACGTATTTATGACTGCGCTAGCAGAGAGCGGTGCTCATTTCGATCGCAATCGCAACTGCAATTGACGGAGAGAAGGACAGTTTTGGCAAAGACCGCGAACCAGGTTGAGGAGTGCACCAAAGAGCGGCACAATGGTGATTAACAGTAAAAAAGTGAGCACGTACCTTTGAGGTGGAATCGGAATCATTGTTGTAGTCGAGACTAGTTCGTCGCTGGTTGAATCTGGTCAGCGTGACCGGGGTGGATGAGTAGGTCGAGCCTGTAGGGCCGTAGTGGGGGGAGAAGGTTATTTTCTGAGTGCCAACCAACGCCATTATGCTCAGTGGGGGAAGAGGAGTAGGTGGGTGACACAAAACACACAACAAACACACACACACACACACCGACACAGTTATCAGTAGACGCAGCAAGAGTGGAGACAATCTCTCTCCCAGTGACTGCACTGATCACAGCTTCATGTTTGCCTGTCGGTAGAGCGGTGCTGAACTGGGCACTCGAAGGGCTAGTCAGTTGGTTAGTGCTCGGGTGCAGTAAATCAAGTGACACTTCTTAAGTGGAGCGTCGCTGACTGCCGAGTGCTGCTGGTGGCTGATGCTGACGCTACTGAACAGACTACCTCACTGACTGCCTGCCTGAGTGGGCCAATTAGCAATTGCATTGGCAACGTAATTTGACTTATCATCGACTGCTGTTCCCCTTTTATTGCTACACCGATAGGCTAAATTCCGATTAAAGAAATCATCATTTACGTAGGGCTGGTGACAACCTGAGTTTGGCCTGCCCATCGGGGGCTAGCCAGTGGCGGCAGACGAGCAGCTTCAATTAAAAGATGTGTCTAGCAAGTAAGGTAAGCACTGTCTTTCTCTTTGTGTAGTCTGCACATGTAAATGTACACCGTTTTATGATGCACTTAAAGAGTCTCATTTCACTGCCTATTTTAGCAATGCTCCCATCTTTGAACGGGGATGTTTGCCGAGGAGAACTGCTGTTGAATGCTGCTGCTGAAAACACCGAGTCATAATGCAAACATATTTGTGTCGAGAGGAAAAGGGGGACTAGTGTTCGTTGGCAGGATGAACACCGAAGGAGGGAAAGGGAAAAATGGAGACAGAAAACATACCTGGTGAGTATTTGCTCGATAGAAATGAACTAGAGGTGTATGATCTAGAGCTAGGACTTGAGTATGACGAGGGTCGATAGGAGTTGAGGTTGAGATCATAGGATGATCGCGTCCTCAGATAGCTGGAGCTGGCAGAGGACGCAGTGGAGGAGGAGGAGGATGACGATGATATTGACGACGGACTCGAGTTTAGGTAAAACTTGCTGCTACTACCGCTGCCGCTGCTACCTGAGGAAAAGTTGTATTTCGACGAGTGACGCGACAGCGAACTCGACGGGTAGTACGTCGTTGAGGTCATCTTGCTTAGAACGTGACGTAGATCTGCGAAAAAAAGGCAAACGTCAGCAAGTGTGTCGACTATCGATGGTAATTTTTAATAAAGGGGACTGGTAGGATGCAGTGCTAACTGGGTGACGGAAAAGGTGTAATCAGGTAGTGTAGTACAGCTTATAATGAGAAGACAGGAGAGGACATAGTAGATAAAGACAAACAAGGCGATCATAGGCACGGCACTGCTCAATACTGGTGGCTAGTTGAAGTTGAGGAGCAGCACAAGTTGAGACACCTAACCGAACCAAAAATGACATCAATTCACTGGCACAGCACAATCACGCAGTCAGTCACAAACATGAACTTGTCTATTCTCTGGAGCTCATCTTCAGCCGGTGGAAGAAGAGTGCTGTCGAAAGGAAACGCTCATGTCTTACTTTTTTTTCCACAGCAAGCGGTGTCGATGATATTCAGAAAGGGAACAACTGCGACTAACCGATAGCACTGGTTTGCTGTTTTGTCGCAGTTGGGAGCAGCTGACACTGCTGGTGCTGCTAGTTCTGGCGACAAGTAGTGGAAAGTATTTCACTAATCTTTTCTTGACACCTTGCCATAAACTCTGAAGGCAAAGAATTTAAATTTAAGCAAGGCAAACGAGAAGAGAAGAGGAAGGAAAAGAAGAAGAAGAGGCCTCGAGCGTCTTTTCTCCAGCAGCGGTGCAGTCAGAATTGCACTGTGCTGTGTGCTAGAGAAAGCCTAAGATTGGCAGACTGAGAGAACGAGGTTGAGCGCGTGCTCATTAATTAGCCGGATTGCCGCTGCACTGTTTCTTGCCATTGACTCTCTCTTTCTCTCACTCTTTACTACTACTCTGTCTCGGCAGTGTGTGCTCTCCACACCAGTCGAGTCGGTGCACAGCGATTTTGAACTTAGGCAAACAAAAGCGATTCGCAAAGCATGAAGCATCGTGACGGCGGAATTGCCGTTGCGCCAGTTGGTACAGAAGACGCAAGTGAAAAGGGAAAGAGAGAAAGCGAAGAGCAAGCGATGTGATTTCCATAGTTATTGCAAGCACAGGCTATTTTGGCCAAGTTTGTGCCGTCATCGTCACCGGTTGGTGTAATCTTACAAGTTTACACACACACACACACCAAGACACTGCCAGTTGCACACTTCGAAGTTGAACCATCCTGCGCACTGCTGCTTCAAATCGGCACATTTTGCAGACCCCCCTTTCTCAGCAAAGCTCACTCACTCTCACTTTCACCTGTGGCCTTAAACACTCTTTTCTCTACTCTGTCTGCTGAGTGGTGCGAACTACACCATCATTGTTTCAGCTGATGATCAGCGGGTGACCACCAGATTTGCCTAGCTACAGCAGCAGCTTTCCTTCACACGCGATTGGCGTCACAATTCTGCGAAAATCAAATACTGAACGCCAGGAATAGCTCCGTGGGTAATGACAATTCAATATGGCAGTCAGGGAAAGCATTCATCGAAGGACCTGAAGGACTTGCTAATCGCTCATTTGCGTAGTTTCAGTCTTTGAAGATTGGCGCGCACAAACACAGACAACAGTGCTGACGGTGTGAAAATGTGATTAATCACTTGTAACTGGTTGTGTTTATGATTGTGCACTACTGGGCGACTGACAGAACAGGCTTCGCGACACTGACTCGGTAGACCAGCCTGGCCTGCCTGCTTTTTTATTGCCTGTGAACTGTCATCCTGCTGCATCTGCTATCTGCTATGCCAGTAGCTTTGCTGTGGCAATGGCTATCGATCGACAGGGAGAGAGTGCACGGCAGTGCACAGCTTCACTGAACTGTGAAGCAAACTCACTCTCCCTCTCTTTTTACGGCTTCTTTACGTAACAGAATTGGCATGTCAACTAGCTTACCTTAGAAACAGAATTGTCAAATGTCGCTATGAATGGCGGTGAAAACCGCATTTATCAGGGTGTCAAGGGTTCATTGTTGAGCAGCCTATGCATCTGCACAATGCGTCGACAGAACGGTGGTGAAAGAATCACAAGCGGTGAGTTGGGCGGAGAGAGAAGTGGACAATGTCTAATGTCAACTGCAGAAAATGGCACAAGATGAGTCACTGGAACCGTTTAGAGGTCAAAAGTTGGGCTGATTAGAGAGTTGCCGTGCGATTCTACAGCGATGCCGCTGACCGAGGGAAAGTATCGTCAAGCAGTGTCCGGACGAGCGGTTCAACTTTTACTCAGAGAAGACGTGTGTGATCCAATGAAGCCGATCGTCGAGCAGGCAAATAGTAGTGGTGAGCATAATTGAATCGAATTGCGGAGAACACAGACATGGAAGCAGCAGCAGAATGAAGGTCTTTGCAGTGGCGCTCTACGCGCGCACTCCAACTCACTTGCCGTACAAGCGAGTGTACGTGTGAGAGAGCACTCTCGCCCAGCCACAACTGTATAGCCATTGCGCAGTGGCACTAAGCAGGTCTCTGCCTATGCTGCATTGACTCAGTCGCCCACCACAACCACTGGCCACTACCACTTACCGGTGTCTGCTGGCAGACTACTCGAACATGTTGCCTTTCTCTCTTTCTGCCCACCGTCCACTCTTACTCACTTCTTTATTTGAATAGGGCATATTTAGTAGACAAAGAATGGTTACCTACTGTCTGCCGATTTGGCATTGATACCA